CGGAATAGAAGAATCATTGTTATTTGAGATAACAATAGAATAAAATTTTAAAATAGAGATCCTATTGTATTTTCATAAAATAGACACTAGAGGCTACTGTGCTTTTGGCTTTGGAAGTATGATAGTTGTTATTTATTAGAAGCCTCTGTCACTCTTCTTCATTCTGCAAAAATCAACTTACTCAACTATTCTAATATTGGCATTCGTACCTCAGTATTGGGACCAGCACTGTTTAATATCTTTGTTGGTGACATGGACAGTGGGATTGAGTGCACCCTCAACAAATTTGTCAATGACACCAAGCTGTGCAGTGCAGTTAACACGCTGTAGGGAATGGATGACATCCAGAGGGACCTCAACATGCTCGAGAGATGGGCCTGGGCAAACCTTATGACGTTCAAAGTGCAAGGTCCTGCACAGGGGTCTGGGAAATCCCAAGCACAAACACAGGCTCGGCGATGAGTGGATTGAGAGCAGCCCTAAGATATTAGGGTATTACTGAGTGGAAAACTGACTATGAGCCAGCAATGTGCACTGACAGCCCAGGAAGCCAACTGTGTCCTGGGCTGTATCAAGAGAAGTGTGGCCAGCAGGTCGAGGGAAGGGATTCTCCCCCTCTGCTCTCAAGACCCCACCTGGAGTGGTGTGTTCAGCTGTGGGGCCCCCAATATAAGAAGGACACGGACCTGCTTGAGCAGGTTCAGAGGAAACCACAAAGATGATCAGGGGTCTGAAGCACCTCCCTTATGAGGACAGGCTGAGAGTTGGTGTTGTTCAGCCTGGAGAAGAGAAGGCTCCAGAGAGACCTTATAGCGGCCTGCCAGTGCTTAAAGGGGGCTACAGGAAAGGTGGGGAGGGACTCCTTATCAGGGGGTGTAGGGATAGGACGAGGGTAGCAGTTTTAAACTGAAAGAGGGCAGATTTGGATTAGATCTAAGGAAGAAATTCTTTACTGTGAGGATGGTGAGGCTCTGGCCCAGGGTGCCCAGAGCAGCTGTGGCTGCCCCCTCCCTGGGAGGGTTCAAGGCCAGGTTGGACGGGGCTGGGAGCCCCCTGGGCTGGGGGAAGGGGGCCCTGCCCGGGGCTGGGGGGTTGGAACTGGATGATCTTTAAGGTCCCTCCAACCCAAACCATTCTGTGATTCTATGACAATAACGTTACAGTAACAGCATTAACAGCAGTGAGAAGAGAGAACACACAAGGCCTTGCTGAGGTGTTACGTAGCTGGCACAACCACATCCATAATGTCGTGCCAATATTAGAACATGACCAAAATGGAATGATGCTTCACAAACAAATCAAATGCATAGATTTAGTCTGAGTCCTTGGTACAGCATTTCTAAAAGGATGATGGGGTTGTAACAGTAGCAAAATGAATAGCCTTTCCCACAAGGTACAGGAGATTGCCTAATGCAAAATCACATTGGCATTCCTGTGGAGTGATGTGAAGGCTGTAGCTGAGACAGAAAGGATGCTTATGGGACAATTCAACTAATTTCAAGGGCTTCCCACACTAAACCCACCAAAGCACAAAAAATTCCCAGATTCTACGAACAGAGTTTCTCTTTCACTATCCTCTGCCAAAAATATCTGATCTCACCCAACCCTGCTGGTGCTCTTAAGAGATGGAAAGTAACTGGGTTATGGAGAAACGATTCAGATGCATAGCAGGCAGAGGGCAGCTGTGATGCATTGAAACAATACACAGAATTTGGGTTTTTTTCTGTTAACCAAAGGATATTTTCAACACAAAAATATTTAATATTCAGAAGGTTAAATTTTGAATTCTGTTCAGTGTTTCTGTATTCAAGGAATAAATCCTCTTTCCAGCAAATCTATAAGAGTATCTCTCTCCTTCTCACACCATCTTTTCCTATCAGCAGTAGGAGTAAACCCATACAATATAAGATCTAATTAGTTTCTTATTAGTTTCTACAGAATATATAGCACGGAATATAGATATGAAAAGAATACACTACAAAAAAGCTATACCATATTAAACACATTAGCTCTGAGCTGATCAACACAGAGCTGCTTGGCATATAAACTGGTGAAGACATATGTGATGCTAAGCTCTACAGAACATCTAGAATATAAATCCCATGATAGTATCTTCACAGCACCAGCCTGACATTGTGTGATACTGTTATAAATTAGTACACTAGGCTCAAAATTCAAAGTAACCATACGTGTAAAAACTAATTTGAAAATTGAATGGCATCACAGCAAAGGGTTGAATCAAAGACGAAGCAGAAAGTAAAACTAAGTATTTGATTTTTTTATTAAAGAACCAAAAAGATAAGGTCTTACCTGGTTGAAAAACTTACGCTTATGTAATAACATTAATGTCTCTAAAGTTACCAACAGGAAAATCATAGTTAGTGTGAGAAATTGGGAACAGGTACAGAGATGTCCACTAAATGTAGCGGGTTTAGAAATGAATAAAGATGCACTAGACAGACAGGATTACCTTGAGGGTTCAGTTCCTCCAGAAGCTTCACCTTTATTTCAAAGTAAACTACACTCTGCATATACTTTAAACTGTTTCTGATCCCACACACCTTTAAAACTATTTTTGCTCACAACCTAGTGCACTGAAAAGCAAATAAAGCTTGCAACACCTCTTCAGTGCTTCAACTACAAGCACAGGTGCTAATCACAATTTGTGCTACATAAAAGCAAAGGTCCCTGCACTAGTTAAATACCTATCACCATCTGCAGCATACCGAAAAAAAAAAAAAAAAAAATCAGTGTTGAGACTGAATAGCCAAAAACCTTTCACTGTGAGAAGGTAAAATTATAGAATCATATAAACCAGGAAAAAAATGGTTGGAATGGACCTCTGCAGGTTATCTAGTTCACTTGCCTGCCCCCAGATGGGCTAACTTTTACACTATGTCCAATTGCTCAGAACTTTGTACACGCAAGATGAAACAATCTCTTAGGACAGCAATTCTGCAGCCACTCTGAGAACCTGTTCTAGTGCTAAACCAGTCTCAGTGAAGAACTTACGCCTCCTGCCCATCAAATTTCCTTCCTTACAACTCAGATTCACTGCCGCTCGTCCTTGCTCTCCATCCCTGCTCTCTTTCAATACATATTTTACACTAATTCATACAGATTTTTTTTTTTTTCCTGAATGGTATAATCCTATGGTCAAAAAAGGGCTGGGATGAACTTCATAAAGTCATCTTGTTTCTCTCCCTGCTTTAAGATAGGATAAACTATACCAGTGTTTTGTGAATTATGTTCTTCTGATGGAAACTCCACTTCCTCAATGTGAAAACTATACCACTGCTTTGCTAGCCTTACAATAAGATTGTTTTCTAATGCCTAATATTAATTTCTCTTTCAGCAATTTTAGCCTCTACCCTTTATCCTTTTTATACTTGCAGACTGTATTATTTGAATCATAGTCTTGCAGTATCATATTGATTGGAAAAAGCCTCTAGTTCACCTAGCCAGGCTCCTGCTCTGAGCAGAGCAACTGCTAAGTTAGACCAGGCTGCTCAGGGCCTAGTCCAGGTGAGTCTTAAAAACCTCTGAAGGTGGCTGGAGATTCTACCAGCTGTCTGGTCAACCTGTTCCAGTGCTTCCCCAGTTAGCCTGTCTACATTCAAACAAAATGTCAGCTTGCTGACATAAGCAGAATCTTATGTGGTTTGTTTTCATTCAATTTCTAGAGTGCTTTCATTTTTTTTTTCCTAAATTGCTGTTACGAAAATGAAAGCTACCAACGATGCTCTAAAGCATTAGGAAACACCATATAAAGTTTACAGATACAAAAATTCAAATAGGAAGGACAATCTATCTAGATGACTTTTAATTCTAAGAGAATTTGCACAGCCAGAGTAAAATATTTTGGAATAAAAATAAAAAAATAAGACTTCCTGGAAGCACCAGTTTTCAACTGTGCTAGTCCACCAAGTCTGACACGCAAGCTGATGTCAGCGCTACGAGCCAGAGTACTCCAGTATCCAGACCATTATCTACTGGCCTCTTGTCCCACAAGCATTCTCTTTCAACTACTTTTTACATGTAGTTTCACCTGCCTGCTGCCAACAGTTTTCCTCTCAAGCTCTGCTGCCCACATTTTACGTACTTGAAAAATACTTTCTTTACTTGTGCCCTGTATGCATCCCACTCACCAGTCACAAGCAAAAACTCCCAGGGACCTGGCAACCCAAGCAGAGCAAAAGGCAACCACAGTGCACTTTTTCTTTATTGCTGCTTTCTGCCAAGTTATTACAGTCACCTTGGAAGGGAAAAGAGTGATCAGTGCAGGAGCAAGTACAAAGAAATGCAAGTGTGCAGACCAGGGAGGGGGAGGATGTAACAGCAATTAGATTAACTTAGACTGCCAGGTAACAAGCCTTAACTAACTAATGCAGGGAAACACCTAACTTTCTGTTTTTCCTTTTATTATGCCAAAGCTGGATCGGGCATAGGACTGGTTGGCACTAGGGATGGGCTTTGCTTCAGCTTGGTGACTCAGCATAGGCAGAACTTCAGCTGTGGAAACCAACAACTTTAAAGACCTTAATGGGGATTTAGGTATGTTCATGAACTAGGTCAATCTGCTATAGAGCACACAAATATAGCGCTGTTTTGGAGCTCCTACCCAAAACCACTAAGTTTAGCAAGTAAGTTAACAATGTAAAAAATTCATTTACTGATGCAAAAAAAGTCCAGTTACATCTGGAAGGACAAATGTGAGCACAAATGTTTCAAGTTTCAACAATCTCCAAGATTAAAAGAGGTCCTCTTGCTTCCCCTGTAAAACTAGTCTTCTGCACACACATTACACCCAACACGGGGGTTGATACCGGGACAACCCTTACGCATGAACAGTCAGAGGTCTCACAGATGAGTTTGCAGCTGATCTGAAGTGCTTCAGCTGACAATCACTGATCCCCAAAATCTCCTGCTTCGGGTACTAAAAGAGAAGTTTACTCCACAAAACCAAAATACCAGGTTGACAATATCTTCAGATACATTGCTTTAATAGCAAAGTTTTAATATCTTTTATTTCTATCACTGTGAGACTGAAGAATACGCTATTTTTCACAGCTTTCAGTTCATTCTCCAAAGAGTAGCATGCAACAGAAAAACATTAGCATTTAGATTTTTTTTCACATTTTTATTCAACAACCAGATTACAGAAAATGGGTAGAATTAAACAAAAGCTTACATTAAATACTAAACAAAATATTAACATTGCTGAGGAGCTAGTTCCCGAATATGCTCACTTTCTATATCCTCAACCATCTGCACTGCAGCTCATAGAACAAAACAAGAATAGCTGAAGTTTTTCTTGGATGCAATTCATTATGCCACATGAGAACTGCAGCCCTTGACAGGCTCCTGTTCAGTAGAATTTAGCAAGATGAAAGTAGTCAAGTGTTTGTACAGTAATGAAAAAAAGCAGTTTACAAATGAAAAATTATCAAGTATAATAAATACACTTCCCTTAAAAAGAAGTGAGCCCTCACTCTCGGAGCACACTTTTCAGAAGACAAAACCCATGATTTTCTGCTCTGGAAATGTACTTTGTGCGAAATGATTTGCATTGATGACCTGTAAACAATTATATCTCCAAAGCCTTTCAGGAAAGAATAGATTCCCATAGAAAGTTTCAACTGCAATCTTTTACTCAAAGTCTTCAGAAATATTCAGTAGCTTCAGACCAGACCCATTAGCAATCAGTCCATCACTGCCATTTTTAGTTACAGTTGTTATGACAGCTTGGATTCCCCCTCTCTCTAATCAATGTTTTTATAGAGTGGTGTCAGTTTATGGATTGACATTTTTAGTGCTATCAAAGGCCAGCCTAAGGAGGAGGATCTTCTCCTCGAATAGCTTTGTACTTTGCCATGTCTTCTGGGAACACCTTTGTCAGTTCTTGAATTAACAGACTTTTAAATTTCTGGAAAAAGGAAAAAAAATGCATATATGCCATTGGCACAATTTATTTAGATTTCATCAAGCAATATCATCTGATGAACAGAAATGTTAGCATACAATATAGTTCTACATTTCAGTGACCTAAGAGAATGGTACCCCAAAAAAACCTTCAAAACCAAACACGCAAACACAGAAAGTTACATTCACACCTTTAATTTCCCATAAATTAACTAGCATTTTCACCTAAGAAATACAAAGTAGTTGAACCTCTCTGGTAAACGCTGGTGCCTGAATATCTGACCTTATTAAGCAACACTGATAAAGGACATGGCCTCTTGATTTGATATGGAGACCACTCCACCTCCAAAAAAGAACTCACACCTGGCTTATAAATACACAATTCTTCCTACAACTTTTACAAGCACAGAGCATATCAAAAGAAAGAGAAGCTTAGAACATATGGAGATGTGTCTCTATTCTGCAGCATTTTTTGCCATCCTCTACACTGATTTTAAGTTCAGTCAATGAATGTTCTGAAACACAAACAGCCCTTTCTCAATTGTCACTAAACTTTTTCTGATCATGTTTTTCAGCAGTAATTCCATCAGCTAACCAGTACAATAGAGTATTTAGGTTCATACTAGATGAAAGTTCAGAAAACCCAAAACACTGGCATATATTTTAAGTAATTTTATAAAGATTAACTCATGCTTATATAGCACATTTGACATTTAAATATCTAAGATCCATTCAAGACTGGAAAAATACCCCTTCCATTTTGCTTATTCCTAATTTTACATACATCACAGTTACAGATCTGTAACAGTGTGAGGTACTTGCTAATATTCAAAATGAAAACAAACAAACAAATAAATCTGTAATGCTACATACAACTTTAGCAAAAACAAAATCATAGCCACATCTGCATCTCCAACTGTGGCATGAATTACAAGTTTCCTTTCCAGGACAAGCTATATTAGTGGCAATTAAGATACAAGGACGCAGAGCAATTCATAATACAAGTCACCTAATAAGGGAATTCAATAACTGCACAAGTGAAAAACCCTCACATATTTACAGAAAAGTAAAAACTTATCAAATACATAAGTACTTTCATTATTTCTGCTTTACCTTCATTGTGTCAATTTTTCCTTTCACTTGTTCATTTTTAGCCAAAGCTCGCTCCAGACACTCTTTAGTGTAAAGCTGAGGATTGCGGCCTTGATCTATGTATCTGAAAATAGAAAATATACTACCTAAATGACCATAATCCTACTAGGATGTTCTCCAAGGTACAGAATTATTCACCTTGCTGTCTTTTTGTTACTACTGTTCTCTGAAAGATGCATTTTTAAAAAGTTTAACACAGCTGGTTTTGAAAGACAGCTCAAGGAGGACTAGGCCATGGCCAGCAAACAGCTGCCTTGGTATGCTGTTTTAAATCTGTTTCCAGAAAGCCCAAAGCTTTGAAAAAAACTACTGAAAGCAAACAAGAAATATAACTACCTAGCTCCTCACAGGCATTAGGTACACATCCATGAAGAAAGATGGTCCTTTTCCAAGCAATTGGAAGGGTGCTACCTATGAAGTAGCTAAGTTAATACACGGTGAGTACTAAGCACATAGGAATACAGTACCCAGAAATTCAAGGGTGAGGAGGAAGTGCACAGATCATAGTAAAAATACAACACACCTGTATCAGCAAACCTCTAAGTGTATTTTTGCTTTGCAATGTAAGTGCCTAACAAAGGAAAATTCAATCACTGAATAAAGAAAGCAGCACATTTAAGATTGTCATCACAGACTTACAGATAGAGAGCCCAACTGAGGAAAGTCCTGTATAGCAAATATTACATTAGAGTATCACAAACCAGTGACATTTGAACTTACAAGAAACACTAGTGAAGTAACTTGTTAGCTATATCATAAAAGCTGTCTTGCATAGCTCTCCCTCTACTTTCATGATTTTGCTTTTAGCCTTCTAATTCTCTGCCAACAGGAAGACTGCCCCTACCAAAACGAAACACCTAAGGACTAGCCTTATTTATTGTCACCCTTATTTTCACCTGCAGCTTGAAATCCTGATTCTAACCTAGTGTAAAAATATATTCCCAAAACAAATGCTTGCTTACTGAATCACTGGATTCAGCAGAATTTGTATTACTGCCTACATACATTAAGTTAATACAAGGAGACCTCAGGGAAAACACCCACGCTACCTCAAATCACACCAACTGCAGCACCTTCCCTTCCAGGTGCAAAGTTACTTACTCAAAAACTTCCAAGGGCACGCTGATATCGTGAAGCTGCTGTCGGCATTTGTCGATATCCTGCAAGCCCGTTACCATGAAATTCCTGTAAGAAGACAAACGGGCGGGTTTTAACCAAAAAGGGGCGTACTGCGCTAAGCCTAACCCCGGCTGCGGGACCAGAGCCGTGAAACCCAGCCAGGGAGAGCCCGGCGAAACGCCCTGCCGCTCCTCCCGCGCCTCGCTAGGGCGGAAGGTGACTGGCCCCCAGTCCCCTGGGGCCCAGGACCACCGGCCCCCTCAGGCCCCCGGCAAAGGCCCCGCGGCGGGGCCTGCTAACGGAAAAGGGTGGCGGAGCGGCAGGTCCCCTCACAGTTTCTGGTTGAGACCAGCCTGGCTGCTGGGCTGGAAGTCACTGACGATAATGCCGAGCTGCCGAATGTTCTCCACGAACTTCTCCAGGTGCTCCTCCAGGGAGTCGAACTTCTCCGCCATCGCCCGCCGCCGCCTTGCCTTGCCCCGCCCCACTTCCGGCCTACCACGCATGCGCGGCGGAGGAGGCAGGCGGAGGGACTGGGTTGCTCCCACCTCGCGCTACGCCCGTCCCCTCGAAACACGCCCCCTCCGTTGAGACCACGCCCCCTCCGTTGAGACCACGCCCCCGCCGCGGACAGAAGCGGCGGGACGGGGGGGGACAGCGCAAAATCCGCCGTTGCGCAGCCGCGCAAACAGCGCGGGGCGGTACGAAAGTGGTGGGCAGCCAGCCTGGAGCTCCAGCAGCGCTTGTCGCTTCTGACGGCGTGTATTGATTACGCTTCTCGCTGCACAGCAGGGCGCTCGGTTCAGCGGCTGCGCCGCGGTCAGAAAATGAATTCGAGACAAAAAGATTTATAAGCCTTTAGTTGCGCAAGTCGGTATGTGCTTGGGGCATTCCGGATGTATCAAATATGTGATTGCAAATCGTGAGAAATATTTTTTACCCTGAAGGTAATCAATACTAAATTATAATTCTCATCTTCTATAACTGCCAGGTAATTTTGACAAGCTGGATCATTCAGTAGCTGTCAGCATTGCATTTTCTTCTTTTGTTACCATATAACATCTCTACGAATTTTTCAGTAGATCCCGGTGGAGTGGGAAGCACACAATGTGATAAATAACATCTTTGAAAAAAATTGCAAGTACTCATTTTGAAATGGTGAGAACTGAAAACTCACTGCTAATTGTTGTGGCGTAGCAGACAGATTGCTGCATCTACATCTTGAAGTGTCTCCCTTCTTGGCTTCTTGAAGATATAATCTTTCGTGCCATTCCACTCCTATAAAAATGCTATAATTGACTCTCACTGCTTTTTTTGTCAATCATCCTTTTCTCTGTCTTCATCAAATATTAGCACATTGCTTATATTTTTAGACCACCATTGGGAATCTCTCTGGTTTTGAGTGGTTTCCCTTCCTGTGTTGCCTAGACGTAAAATCTTTCCTCGTTTTCAAGCCCATTCAGAACTCAGGTGTGGCTCCAATTCTTGCAGCCCCCACCCTGTACCAGGGGTTGAACTCTAGTCCTGATCCATTTGCAGTGCAGAGCCTGGTCACTTCTTGAAAGCTTGTCCAAAAGGTGGCTTCATGCCTTTTTTTCCCCATGCTGCCCTTGACCGTTAAGTGGGGCTGCCTGTGACTATCCTATCACTTCACTGCATCCCCTCGAAATCCTAATTAAATTACTCACCTCGTTATCCACAGCGGCAAGCTGCTGCCTGCCAGTACAGGCTCTGGGTTAGGGATCATCTCTGTGAAGTCCTTAGCACAAAAGGACCTAACTTGTGGGTGAAGGTCATACACACGACTGGGATATGGGGAACTGTGGAGATCTAAAGAGCATAAATCTTTCTGCCTGTCTCACTTCCCGTGTCTGATCAGTAGATAACTCAGCCCATGACTGATCCCACTCACAAAGGGAGCCCTCAGACTTGCCTTTCATCTGGTAATGAAAATACCCACCTGGAATTCAGCATACCTGGATTTCAATCTCTCTTTTTGATCCACAAAGATCAGAACCTACAAAAAGCCTTGACCTCAGAAGCTAGGATATATTTGGCAGAGGGGTCCATTCAGTCCCTGTGGCTGTTCTACTTTGTGCAAAAATTAAGCACTGCTTGAGCAATGGGAGTACAGGGTTTGGCATACCACACAAAAAGAAATGGAGGAACCAGTGACTGATAATCTGATGAGGGCTCATTATCTTCCCCAGTTGTCTTACATCTGATAATTATGAGTGTTTTTCTAAACTGTGTAAGAAATAGAAGTGGTAACAGACAGAGGTTCGCTTGATAATAAAAAGCACAGTGGAATTATCTGAGGAATGACAAAATATCAGTCTATATTACATAATCCAGCTATCATTTTCCCTGTGGGAAATCATCTGACATGCTTAAATTCCCGTGGCACACCACCATAACTGTATGTTTTATAAATAGCTTATTTCTAGCATGTCTGTTTTGAGTTGAATCTGAGATCTGTCCAGTAATATCAGCAGGTAAGAATCTGATGCATTGATTCACAATGAAGGATTTGAATGAATGTCTGAAATAAGAACTAAACTAAAATAGATACGATATTCAATCAACAGATTTAATGTATTTTGTGCATTTGTAGCCATGACATGACCATCTTGGTTCCACAGTGAGGACCATGAAAATTAGCAACTACTGATTTCTTGGATGTATCTTTTTATTAGTTGTATTATTTTCCATTTATGATATCAATGGCAACAACAAAAATGTAAAAAACCCTCCAATGGTCAGTATCCATTTTGGGTTACCATACTAGTTCAGTAACAGAAAGTTGGGTCTTTGCTAAATATAAAACACTATTCAGGAGTTCATAAGATTAAGTATGCTAAGCCCACTCCCCTCCCCCGCCCCCCCCCCCCAAAAAAAAAAAAAAAAGGAAGTGAATGCAAACAGCACTAACTATTAAGGAAAATATAGAGCTGTGCAAATATGAAATTGTAAAAACAATTATAGGCTGCAGAAAGCAATTAATCAGTTCTAGGCCTTGACAAGTATTGTCATCCTATGATAAAATAAATCCATTGTTGCTGACCATCCTCTTTCCATAGTTGGCAGAATGTTTTCTGAACAGCAGAAGTCCCAGGATTACAAGATTTTAATACAAGTACTTTGCACTGATCAGATGAGAGATCTTGGTCTGAGGAACAGAACATGTTTTTCTAATATTTGGGAAGGAAGAATGTAGAATGTGGTGTACCTCCCAGATTAGATCTGAATTTGAGGAACAGGGTGGCCTAATTTTGAAAGAACAGTCTAAATACATGCGATTGTGTCAGACGTGGTTCTGCAGGCACAAGAGGTTGGGATTTAAACAAAAGAGTTACTTTATATCCATCTTTGCATATGGGCAAACACATTCAGCAGAAGTAAGGAGCAGAATAAATTCGGTAACAAAAATGGGCTTTGAAGTACTGTTAAAACTTCCTCTCTGTGGGAAAGCCTTTGACTGTTGCAACTGAGCAAACATAGCTTCTAGCTTGCTTGTGATGACTGAAATCTGATAGATGTCCATTACCACATCTAACTCAGGTAAAGTATCTGACAGAAAAAAAGAATGGAAGTTGAACATCGACTGTAGAGATACCCAGCTCATCTTAAATCTATATTTACTAACCTAGATTAGATTAGTCTAGATATTTACTAGGTTAGGTTAGATTAATGAATTTTGTTAGATAAATATGTACAGTACTTTTAAGATTAAAACCAGCTATAAATATATTACCAATTGTTAATTTTTTCTTATGATCACCAACTTGGGCAGTGTTTTCCTGCTGAGGGGAAAAAAAGTTAAACAGAGACTTGTGTTCCAATGAAAGATACAGAGAAGATAAGAGGAAGAGAGAAGGAAAGTCAGTCTGACAACTCAGTTGATCAATAGATATATAGAGACAGAAAGATTTATAGGGAAATTTCATGGTTCATGATGTAAATAACCATATTGCAATCGTACCCTGATTTCCATGCAGAAAGCAGGCAATTACTGGCTTGCAAGCTGGACATCTGCACTGGGCAGCCACGTAGGGTCTGTAATAAAAGATAGAATGAGAGGCCATGTGGTTCAATCTGACCCATTTGGGAAGAGTAGCACAGGTTATGTAAAATAAAATTTTGTTTTGTAAAACTCTAATTAATTTTTCAAGGGGTTAGCAAACGTGTAGATTAGAGTGATCTAACTGATACAATCTACTTGAATTTCTCATCAGCTTTTGGTGAAATCCTTAACCAAAGTCCTTTAAGGAACTAAAGCAATGGAATAAGGGGAGAAATCCTAGTCTGAATAAAGAACTGATTGCCAGACAGGAAATTCAGAGTAGGGGCAAACATTTAATTCTTGCAGTGGAGAATCGTTCCCAGAGGAGTTCTACACAGAACTCTGCTGAAAATTGTGCCATTCAGTGTGTTCACAGATGACCCAGAAAACAGATCAGATGACGCAATGAAAAAACTGGCTTATGAGAAGGTTATTTGGTGGAGTAAAGATAAAACAAATACAGGTTATAGGAAACTGTAGAAGGATCTGAAAAGGCTTGGTGGCTGGGCAACAAAGTGTCAGCAGAAATTCACATGATGTAAAGTGATGCACACAGTGAGCAAAAATAATCCTCGTTTCACATGAAGATTTTTGGCTTCTTGACCAAACCCATGTAGGAGCAAGACTCAAGGATCACAATAGAAAGTTCCATGAAAATGTTAGCTCAGTGCTCAGCAGGGGTCAGAAATCATATAGAGAGTTAGGAATTATTAGGACAGGAATTTGAGAACAAAGTAGAAAATGTCATTGTGCTAACTGCTTGAATCCATAGTTCAACTCAATCTTGAACACTGTGTGCAGTTCTGGTTTCCTAGAGTAGATGGGGAAAAGAGTCAGAGAAGGGCTGCCAAGATGACTGCCGATGCAAAATGACTCTTCAGCTTGAGAGAGAGCCCACTGATGAGAGCTATGACCCGATACTTTGCTGTATCTACAAAGCCATGAATGCTCTGGAGCCTAGACTGTCTTCCAGCACAAACACTAGGGACCATCAAATTAAAGCCAACAGGAGACAGCTTCAAACCATGCACAAAGAGGTGATTTTTGTCATGCAAAGTTTAACAACCTTGTACAATCATTTGCCAATGGATGCTATGGACAGTAAAAGTTTAGCTGGGTTGAAGGGGAAATGGGACAAATGCTTGGTAGAGAGTCAGAAAGAGGTAGACAAACTACACCTGGCTCAGGAAATTCCGTGAACTGAAGATAGTCCAAACCCAAAAGAATAGTCAGGAGTGGTCTCATAGGTACTTTTCTTGTCCTCACTCTTCAGCATTTGCTTCTGGATACTGCCAAGCCCAGGACACTGGCCCAGACAGAGCCTTTATCTGAATCTGTGTGGTTACTGTTATGAGGTCCTACCTGCCTGAATTGTCAAAGAATGGCCCCCGCTGCATAGGATGCAGACAGATTGCATAGTGGTTCCTTACCAAGC